CTACAAAAACCTCATGAGACATCAAACAAAATCAGCTATTATTCTAAGTTATTATTCTTGCTGACAAGTTCTATCCAGTGCTGATAATCCAGAGGACATGCCTATTCTAAATCAAACCAGCAAGCTTAAATAAACTTTTATTTATTAAAGATTATTTCATATCATGTTAACTTGAAAGACATTTGGGTTAGTTTTTATTACATTTAGAAATAATTTATGTAAGTGCTTACTTTGAGCCAATTAAATAGAGCTCTTAATTTTAGTCATACCATCCAGAGGTAAAATACCATGTGTATACATAACAAATATATAGACACAAATATACACAAAGACACCATAGTTATTGTTTTAAAACTTTAGGACAATGTATCACACCTTTAAAAGTCTGCACAAAGCATTGAACAAAGGCCCTCTTTCTAAGCGTACATTTAACCATAACCCCAATTTACCTCAGAGGGGGAGCCTTTATTATTGTTTTAGCACCTGATATTAGTGTCTAGTTTTGTTTCATATGGTGTGGGCTCAGGCAAGCTTATCGTCTTCTCTTTAGTATGTTTAATTAACATTGCCTGAAAGGCAGATTTATCCCCACAATACAATCAGGCAAAAAGAAATGTAATCATTTTCTATAAAGCCCATTTAAATATACCAATTTTTATAAAACTTTACCTTAATTTTATCAACTCTTATACCTCTAATTATAACTTATATTAGGGTTTCATTAATAAATTTTGGTATTATAGTACCGTGTAGGGGAAGCATTCCCCCCCAGACATAACACTTATTTCTAAAAAAAAATCCAGGCAAAGTTGACATGACCTCTTTATATAATATTAGCTTAAACACTTTAATCTTTATAGTCTTATCAACCTTAGCAGCCTAATTGTTGGCTCAAACAATTGTTGATCAGGTTTCTCAGGGTGATTTCTGCCTTATGGCTTTTTAAATTTTTTTAACCTGGGGTGAACAGAACAGGCTTGTCTGAGATCCTTTAGTGTTGGGGGAGGTCAATAGGGGGTCCCTTTAGCCTGTCCAGCCTTAGGCAGTGTTTTATTAAAACCTGTGTTTTAACTTTATTCATGTCTCTTCTATTCATCCCATTTTTCTTTTGAATAACTAGTTAAAGATTTCCATCCTGTTGGGATGAGTCCTGTGACTCTTCCCTTTTTGATTTCTCTTTGTTTTTCTCCCCTTTAATATTTGTCCTTTAAAAATTTTCACCTTGTGGGGCTGGCCCCATGGCCGAGTGGTTAAGTTTGCACTCTGCAGTGGCCCAGGGTTTCCCTGGTTTGGATCCTGGGTGTGGACATGGCACCACTCATTAGGCCATGCTGAGGTGGCATCCCACATGCCACAACTAGAAGGACCCACAACTAAAATATACAACTATGGTGGGATTTGGGGAGAAAAAGCAAAAAAAATTCACCTTGTTGAAAAGAGTCCCTTTATTTTTCGTCAGCTTCCTTTTATTCTTTTGTTAACTTAATGTTTTCATTAGCATCTGTAAGACCATGAGAAGAAGCTGAGACCCCAAGTTTGATTAAGTTCTAAAGACTAGTCTTTGTATTTTCCTTTTAATTTGGTCTTTTCATACGTACCAATAAGACAGCTGTTTATGATGAGAGCTCTCTAAAAATTTTTCCAACTTAAGGATCCATTGTTTGGCCATTTTCTTTCCAGAATCTAAAGACTACTGTGGCCATGTGATGTTACAAAAGAAAATCATCCCTTTTTAGACACTGGCTTATGACTATAATTAGACCATCTACTCAGAATCAACCCCAACAGGCTCTGCTTGGGGACAGATGGCATGCTCCCCATTCTGATACACAGAGGTGGACAGACACACAGATCCAGAAGAGAAAAACCAGACACCAGTGAACTGGTTCCCAGATTTAGGGTAGAAAGTCCTACAACTGTTCCCACTCTGAATGGGCAGCCAGATGACCCCTCTGCAAATGGAAGGGACCCCAGATGGCCCTGCCATAAATGGAAAGACCCCAGTGCGGGGGGAAGGGAGTTCACGGGCATCCCAAGGCAACTTACCTTATTCCACACTGAGTCCGTTGACTCACCAGAAGCAACAACAAGCAAATGAATCTAGAGCCTGTTTCCTTGGCATGAGAAAATGTGCCTAGGCCCAGTGGTGCTGGGTCACATGGAAAGTACTGGGGACAGTCCCTAGGGTAAATTACGTAGGCAGTTGCTGGACTGTTGCCCAGGAAATACCAGTCAGCCCAGGCTGAGGAGCCAAGGGCAAGAGCCTCCTGGCTGGCTCCCCAAAATGTTACTGGACACAAATACAAGTTCCTTACCTGCCACACAAGTGGGGCCAAATAAAAACTGGAATGCCAGGCTTATGGCAAGGAAAGGGCTTTTATTTCAGGTGATGTCAGCCAAGAGATGAGAGTTAGTAGTCAAATTCCTCTCACCTCCCGAAAGATGAGAGGCAATGTTGCAAGGAATGAAGCTGCTTGTAGGCAGGAGGATGGTGAGATAAGGGAATCTGTGGGTAGCTGTCCTTGGTTGTCTGCACCCACAACGGGTGGTGGATTGTGGTGCCAGGAAGCTGAGTTGGGTGGGGTGTGGGAAACTTCAGCTTCTTGATATTCTCTCGATATCAGTTTCCCTGTAATAAAACTTCAAAGGACCCATAACTAGCCAAAATGTTAACATGAGGCCACCCGGGCTCTGACAGTTTGTAACTTCTATTTGCCTTGCAAAGTTCAGGGATACAAAGGTTAAAGAAACCGATAATTACGCATGAATGTAGAGAAGCAGGGAAGGGGGATGGGTACTCTTCGTTTTAACCCCATATGTGCTGGGTTTAGTGTAGGGGACACATATCAGGGCCAGTATCAGCAACTCTTCAGGGCCTCACCATGGGGATTTGTTCTCTGCTTCAGTAAGGCATGAGGAGTTTCAGAGATAGGGGGTTCATGAGGAAGTTATACTTCACCTTCCTTTTCCTTCATAAAAGCCTGATTTTTCTGGTCAGAGCAAACTGTCAAAATTGGCATAATCACAAAGCCTCGCCAGAGTAGTTGGGACACATGTAAAAACCCTGTTTTCAGTTGGCTGATGGAACCTCAGGACCTTTTCCCTCAGGACTGCTTGCGACTTGAGAGTTGCTGTGGAGTAACAGAAACCCTCATGTTATCACGAAATGCTCCTGTGGATTCTGCTCCTTCACTGTGGTTTGCCTGTCCTCTCTCTCCCCTCCCTCCCTTCGCCTCCTGCCCTGGCCTTCTCCTCCCACCCCACCCCACCCCCTCAGAATCCCCCCAGGGCCCCTCACCTGCACAGCATTTAGCCTCGTGCCATTTCCTCCCACCTTCTCAGTTACTCCTTTCTCAGAGACAGCAGAACAATGGATTCTCCTGGAGGAGCCATCTTCCTCCTCAGATGGCAGAGAATGGAGAGATTGCAAATAATTAAAAATTAATGTTTCTCCCCTGTCACAAGAAGAAGAACGGGCCTCCTTAACTGCAGAAAAAGACTGGAGGCCTTGGAGGCAGATACCAGTTTGACCCCGACATGGCTGTCCACCCATCCCAGGGTGATGGAATTGGAATGCGGTTTAGCTACGGTCTTGCTGGTGATGGTGCTGACATCATGCGGTAGCTTCTCAGTCCCGGGGCCTTTCTTGCAGAGCTCCTATTGTGAGCGCTGTATGAAAGGTAAAAATCGTTTCTTTGATATCCCCGCCCCTCAGCATGCTTTTTGTTTTTCCTAGCACAGCAACAGGAACAAAAAATAAATAAAGGAAGTGGCAACTGGGCAATTCTAGAAGCAAAGAGTAAGGAGAAGTGGAAGTCAGTCTGGTTTCCTCCAAACCAAACCTCTCCTTCCTGGGTTTGGACCGCCTTACAGAGAGTTGCTTGGTCAATATGCACAACAATTTGTTGGGTGGGTGGTAATGCACGCAAAGCTCTGGTATTTCTCTCTCTTGCCTCTGACTCTCCTTATCAGGAAGCTGGTGAATAACGTGTGATTGTTGATGAGTGTGGGCCTTTCCTCGTGTTAAGAACAGTCAATGTGTCCTGAGAATTTACCGCGAACCAGACATCAGGCTCGGCACCTTAATAGGCATCATTTCATTTGTTGCTCTCTCTCTGGGGAATGTATTTTTACATATTATCTTATACGTTGTACAATACCATCATCATTCCATTTTACAGATGAACAAACTGAGGTTTAGAGAGGGAAGGGTGTCCTGGACCCCATAGCTGGCAAGTGACAGGGCCAGGATTTGGCCCAAGAATCCTGATTCCAAGGCCCGGTGCTGGCTGGGAGTGGCGGGAATATAGAGCTGGGTCTACTCTTGTGGAGTCAAAGCCCCAGTCAGGGCCTGTGGCTGGTCATTCAATCATTCATTCATTCATTCATTCATTCATTGATGGAATGCTTACTGTGTGCCAGGTTTGGAGGACGTCTGACGGCTTAAGACCCAGTACCCAAGTACTTTCTTTCCTCTAGACTCCTGCCTTCAAATGGCTTTAAAATTTAATATAGGTTTGAACTCTAAGCCCACGGGAGTGGAGGAGATAGGTAAATTGATTACATTCCGGTGTGATGTGTACACAGAGAACAGTATAATACAACACGTTCTCAAATATTGGGCTGGCCCGCAGTGGGCGGGTGAGAGGTGAGGAGGTGGCCCTGGAGCCGGGTTCAGTGGGTGCCCCCGGGGAAAGGAGGGCAGAGGAGGGCGCGGCGGGGGGGGAGGCGGGCGGGAGGAGCGGGTGGCATCCCGGCCTGTCTGGATGGGAGACAGCGAGGGGCGGGGGGGGAAGGGAGCTCTGCGAGGCTCTCATTAGCCAGCCACACGGGGAGGGGCCGGGTGACCTCACGCTGGCCTAGCCTCTGCGGCCATTAAACTCGTTTCCTTTGCGGTGGCCGCCGCGCTGCCTCCAAGTCCGCGAGGTGGGTGGAGCGGTTCTCTCCGGGACTTAAGGAAGAGTGAGAGGCTTGGGGCGCTCTCCCCGCCCGAGAGCTGTGTGGCAGAGGGAGAAGTTGGGCGAGGCGGGAGTAAACAAGTTAGGGAGCAGCCTGCGAGCAGCTGCGGCCGCCTGGCCCCGTGGGCCGGGGGAGGGAGGGCCGGGCGCTGGCGGCGGTGGCCGGCTTTTTGGGGCGCGGCGCCCTGGGCCGGCCACTCTCATTGCGCTCCCCGCAGCTGCGCCGCCCGCCTCTCAGGTATCGGGTGACCCTTCCCGGCCCCTTCTAGGGTTTCATCCGATCACTGCCGAGCGCAGGGCAGGGACGCGGCGGGCGGGGCACTCCAGGAGAGTAGTTAGTGTTTCTGAATTGGGTCTGAGACGCACCGTGCACGGTCACCCCCGCCAGAAACCCCCGTCCCCTGGGGTCTCCGGTGCGCTGTTTCCTGTTAACGACGTAGTGTATCCCCTGCTCGCCCTGCTTCGGGCATTTCCACAGCTGATAAAGCGAACTCCAGCCTGAAACGGAGGGTCCACCGCACGGAAGAAGATGCGCTCGCCCATCGTAAGTGTGTGGCGGGCGTGGGCTGGGGGTGGGGGTCGTGTTTCAGTGGGGACTCGCCGTCCTGGGCCTGAGTTACCACTTCAGACAGAGGATGCTTCAGGACGTAGGGTCACACCTCGACGGCCGCTGGGCATCAGGTGTCGGTCGTGGGTCAGCAGGCGCCTGTTGGGCTCGTCTCAGGGCTGCACTTGCGAGGGCGAGTGTGGAGGCCGCCCTGCTGAAACCAGGCCCCCGGGAAGGGCCTTCAGGACCTACCTGGGGAGGGAGGAGGAAGGGGCGAATTGTTCCACAAAGGCCCTGTGCTGCCTTCTTGAGTCAGGCCACAACACCTGCACTGGCCCCTGGGGCTGCGTGTCTGGGACTGGAGCTGTTGCCCTGGGCCTCCCTGGGTCTGACCAGCGGGGCCTTTTCTGGTCTCAGCTGACCCACCTCATGACCAGCCCTGCCAGCAATTTCCCAGCTCTCACTTTTCCTTTTTCTAACCTGTGGTGTGGTTCAGAAATCATAAAGGGGCTTAGCAAATGCTTCCTTTCACCTCAGCAGGACCGGCTGCAGAGTAGACCCCCCTGGGATTGTGTTCACACTGAGCACTTAGCTGTGGCACTTTGATCCAGTTTCAAAACCCCTCTGTTCCCCGGAATGAAGATCATATGACTGGATACTTAGGATACTTTGAACACATATTAAGTGTTCAACTGTAATTCACTATTATTATTATTTAAATAGCTGTAAAGACCTTCGCACCACGCCCGGCATGAGGGTGTACCTGGCATATCTGATGCCTGGAGTGGTCTTTTTAATTTTTTTTGAGGAAGATTAGCCCTGAGCTAACATCTGCTGCCAATCCTTCTCTTTTTGCTGAGGAAGACTGGCCCTGAGCTAACATCCGTGCCCATCCTCCTCTACTTTATATGTGGGACGCCTACCAGAGCATGGCTTGCCAAGCGGTGCCATGTCTGCACCCGGGATCTGAACTGCCGAACCCCAGGCCGCTGGAGCGGAGCAGGTGCACTTAACCACTGAGCCACCGGGCTGGCCCCTGAAGTGGTCATGGTCATTTTTAATCACCCCTCTCCTTTATCTGACGACATTATTTTTAGTCATAATCATGAAATGAATAGTAATGATGTTCAGAAAAGAAACCCAGCGACAATTTTCTTTTATTGAGCTTTGTGTGTGACAATCATGCCAGTGAAAAACTAAAAAATGAAAAATAAGGTAAATGTTATAGACAAAAATAGAAAAATGTAGTGGATTAATGGTTTTTAATTGCATGAATGGATTTTGAAAAAAGCTTATTCTTACATATAGGTTGGTTGCCGTAATGAATAATAACATTACAGTTTCTGTTTTGGAACTTTTTAACTTCTGAAAAGCTGACCGTGACTTTGTCAAAATTGACCTTCTTTGCGTGGTCATATTTACTATTCAGTGGAGCTAGTCAGTGTGTCAATCTTTGCTCACGGTTAATTAAAGAACGTTTTTTAATTAATTTTAATTTCGAAAGCTTCTCTTCATGTGAAACAACAGATATCCAAATAGGGAAAGCCTTCAACATTAGCATGAGTTCATCAGAGATTCATAAAAACCCCATTTCATAATAAATTCCAGAAATTGCAATACTACCTATGTCTTTTTTTAAAAATCAATTCTAGTGGTTTTAAATATCTCCACAATTGAAACATTTTCACTAAAACATCTTCACCAGAAAAGTCTCGTATGTTTTTATCTTATGTGGCAAAATTCTCCCAAGATTTTCTTCTGCAAAAGTCAGAGAAAATGGTTGAATGATGGTGAACATTAACATTCATTTAAACCACTGCTTTAGAATGGGACTCGAGCTCTTGGTGAAAATCATTCAGGCTTTCAAACACTTCTTTTCAGTTTCTTCTGGCACTGGGAGAGCAGACTCTTTTAAAACATTTTTTAAATTAAAAACCCTTGTGTTGAGGGGCCTACCCCGTGGCCGAGTGGTTAAGTTCGCGCGCTCCACTGCAGGCAGCCCAGTGTTTCGTTGGTTTGAATCCTGGGCGCGGACATGGCACTGCTCATCAAACCATGCTGAGGCAGCGTCCCACATGCCACAACTAGAAGGACCCACAACGAAGAATATACAACTATGTACTGGGGGGCTTTGGGGAGAAAAGGGAAAAAAATAAAATCTTAAAAACAACAGCAACAAAAAAACAAAAAAACCCTTGTATTGAGGCTGCCTTTCAACAGATCACAGTGAGGGAGCGCTCGGAAACCCCCCTATGTTTCCTAGAAGCAGGTTGTCTACGGGTGGTTTAGAGAGAGCAGACTCTTTGTCATCTGTTTAAAAACAGGAAAACATAGAACCACAGGAATTGGTGGCACAAGCCGTGCAGAAAGTGAGTTCCAACCATTCTGAGCCATTTGGAACTCACTGTGGGAACAGACGCGCGTACGTGAATCTTGTGTGTGTCGGGGGCTGACCGTATAACTGGATGTTCTCTGATTGAACTTCCATGGAGAAATCAAAGCTTTTTAAAGAACAAGAAATAACAATGCGCTAATTTGAGACTCACATCTGTGTTATTAAATCTCAGCAGTAATTGCAGCAATGAGAACTTAGAACAAAATAGCTTTGGGGGGAGTAGTATTTTATCACTGATACTGTTTAAAATTGTTGGCACGTGCGGTAATAAACAGCAGACTGACTTTTGTTGTGTTGTCGTATTGTTTTAAAATTCTCTGTGCACAGCTCACTTCTCTTTGTTGTGCATCCGGGGTTTGCGGCTCCCACCTCCTCGCTCTGGGTGTGTCACTGCTGGCTCCTAGGGCTTCACGAATGTTTGTTGTCCTTCAAGCCGCTCAGCAGACCTCCTTGGGATGCCCCGGGTCAGTGCCGGCGCTGACTGTTTCTCTCCTCTCGGTCTTCCAGATTTGCTGAGAATGCATGGGCCAGGAGCCTCTGCCTTCCCTCCTCCACCCACACTGCGTCCTTAAATCATCCTTAAACCTGTGGCTTGTTGAACACCTGCCACTGGGGATGTGAAATCCAAAGTGAAACTGAGGCTCCAGACTATGAGGAAATTGATGGGCCCGCTCTGATTTCTGACTGGAGACTTAGCGACTTCTCTATGACCCTCCAAGTTTGCCTGATGTTCTGATAGGGCTCTGCGGAGCTAGTTAAGTTGCAAAGGGGTGAGGGGGAAGAAGACCCTTCTCAAACAGCAGTGGGGCTTCAGGCCCTGCAGGGGGTCATCCTCACTCTGCAGAGGCCACAGGCTGGGAGGGGCTTGAGGAGAAAGTGGTGTGTCCCACAAGGCCACAAGCCTCTACTGAGAGCATTGTATGTGCCAGGCTGGCTGCGCAGTCTAGCTGGTGGGCCGGGCGTGGAAAGTGCTCACTCCTTCCCCTGGGCTCCACTCAACCATTATAGTCATCCGATAAACAGGCCATGGGGGCAGTGGCAATCCTCTGCGGGCCTCAGGGGAGGCATTGAGGAGGTGGAGACTTTGAGCCCGTCTTGAGGGATGAGTAGGAGTTTGCCAGGCCTCGAGCACTGTGATGCAGAGGCAGTGTTCGCCACGGGGGTCGTTATCAGACGTCGGTACCTCCCTGTGAATTACTTGGTGTAGTGGAAAGAACTTGGCCTTTGGATTCAATTGGGAGACCTGCGGTGGAATCCTGGTAGCGGTTCTCGGGGTGCTCTGAGACCTTGGGCAAGTTAATTGCTATCTCTGAGCTATTTCCTGGTCTGTAAAATGGGGCTGCTGTAAGGATTCCAGGTGATTTGTGAAAACTCCAGGACGTGCCTGGTGCTGGTGATGGTTCCCAGATGAATCAGGGGGCGGTCCTGATTCACAGCGGGTGAAGTTGGACACGTGGAACAGGACTGGGGCCTGGAGGTCAGGAGCCTGGGAGGGCGAATGAGTTTTGCCTCCTTTTTCCAGGACACCCATGACCTTTGGGCTGCTGGGGCTGGTGCCCACTGGGGCTGCCGCGTCCCTCTCCCAGCGGCTGGCAGGGGAAGAGAGACTGAGACACATCTGAGACTGGGGAGTCTGGGCAGTCAGGCCTCACCCTCCCAGTGCTGCCTGCACCCACCCAGCTGGGGGCATGAGGTCTCAACCCTCTCATGGGCCTAAGTGGTTTTACAGCCTTCGCCCCCATATCATTTATTCCTCACACAAACCCTGCCAGATGGGCCTTAATGGCCCTGTTTTACCAGAGAAGCTCAGAGAGGTTAAGTGATTCTTGCAGGTGACACAGCAATAGAGCAGAGAGGGGCCCAGTTTGAGGGCTGGGCTCTGCTTCTGAAAACGCTGCCTCAGAGAGATGGGATTGGCGCCCAGTTCCTCACATATTTTCTTTTCTTCCTAAAACCTTGGCACTGAAACTCCCAGCTCTCTCCCGGGAAGCCCCTTCTCAGCACCCACCCAGGACTTCAGTCTTTCTTTTTACAGGCTTCTAGATGTTTTTCCCAGAGCCTCAGAAATGAAGGGGATGACGTTAGGGATTTCCACACTGACCACAGTGTGTGATTTTGGGACCTCAGAGGAGAACTTGCTGTCACGCTGGGTTTCACAACCTCCACTGTGTCTCCAGCTGGTCCCAGAGCTGTCTGCGACCTTTCCAAAAAAAAAAAACTCATAAAAACACCCCCGAGAACAGTGGCAGCAAAAACTGCCGTTGACAGAACGCTTCCCATGTGCCAGGTGATATTTGCTGAGTGGTTTCGCGGCATTAACTTCTCTGATCCTCAGGACAGCCCCATGAATCGGGTGCTATAGTCATCCCCATTTTACAGCTGAGGAAACTGAGGCCGAGAGAAGTCGGGTAACTTCTGAAGGTTATCCAGCTAGGAAGTAGCAGAGCCCAGATTTGAACCCAGGCTTTCTGGCTCCGGAGCCCCAAGGTAATCAGTCTGCTGTTTCTGGAAACTAAATCCATCTCGATTTAAACACAGAGCAGCCATGCTCATTCGCCTACCCTCTGCGTTTTTTGTACGCCTGAAATATTTCGTCAAAAAA